AGTCAGGCTCAGGGAATAGTTGCTCATGCCAGAGACCCTGATAGCTACATGTCTTTAATGTTGCTGGCCCTAGGTGAGCGCTGGGAAGCGTCAGGGCTGCTAGGGTGGAATAGCAGTGCTACGGGACAGAAGAGCATATTTATGCATATGCATCAGGGGTAGCATTTGCAGAGGATTTACTGCAATTAAAAATACAAATAATACATTTTGCCTAGTATTACCTGTACATGTCAATCCTTTGGGCTAATGTTCACTACAGTAGGTCCTTCAGGTTGCTCCTACTCAGCAAGGCATTTCAGCACACTCCTGCCTTGCTGCATGCACTGACGACTCACAGATTTCAACTGTGAGTTGAATTTGTTGCATTTATGGCTGGATAAGGCTAGAATGCTGAACTGTGGTACTACCTCTACAAAACTAACCTTCAAAATGCAGTGTGGTAGGTTGGCAGGAATCTGGGCTTTAGTTCTGCGACACTGCAATGAGGGAATGTCTGCCCTTCATCTTTCTAACTTCAGCTGTGTTGTAAACAACCAGGATGCATAATAATGGCCAGTTCCCACAGCCCTATTAGGGTGTTGCAGAGTCACATTCAGCATCTGATTTGGGGCTTGGCTTCCCTGTTTCACAAAACTAAAAGTACAGAAGGGACCTTAGATGATCACCTGCACAACTTTTGTACCCCAAAGACATCTCTCTAATCTGGTCTGAAAGAGGACAGAGATTCCCCATCTCCTCCAAGCTGTCCATTTCTGTACCATGCTATCCATACTGTTAGGAAATATTTCCTATATCCAAATGAATCTTTCTTGCTATAATTTAAGCCCATTATTTCTCAAAGCGTTGTGCTAGTAATATAAAGAGGGAGTTATGTCCTAGCAGCCTTTTACATATTTGAAGACCTTGTACCTTTTAAATTTTTGCATCTTTAGGATGAAGCAGTGTTCATCTTGTGGACAACTTCTTCCAGCTCTGTGACAGCTAAGAAGGAAAGTGAACCTCTGCACTGCAGGCATACATCCATTATGCATGACTCCACACCTCTACTAGAAAAATATCAATGGTCTGCTAACTGAAAGAGGTGGAAAACTACATAAGCAATTATTGCATTCTTTTCTCATAGGCTGCTTATATTTTGTCCTCTGAGCATTTCCTTTATTGTCCTTTGGGCTCTCTCCATCTCACTGTTATCTTTATTCAAATGTGGTTGCCTAAACCTGGACGGAAACAGAATTAAACATGATCCTGACAAACTGGAGGCATAATCTGAAAAAAACTTAGATTTGCTAGGGATAAGTGCCTACATATAATTTATGGATTCTATAAATCTATGAATAACCTACTTAAAGAAGAAGTATGGAGAAAAGTGACTTGATAGCAGTTCTGCAGAACAGAGTTTGGGAGTTACAGCAATGCGTAAGTTACGATGAATCAACAATGTCATGCAGTGGCAATATTATCAAATATCACAGTAATTTGAATATATGGAAGTACCATCTGCAAATTTTAGTCTGTAAGATGCATGAGGCAATTCCTTCTGCCCTGTTCAGCTCTGAGAAGACCTTAGCTTAAACACTGTGTCCACTTTTGGGAGACTAATGCAATAAAGCACTTTCAACACTTCAGCTGACAGATTTTTCCCTCTGTTGAGCAGAAGAAAAACACTTTTCTATGTCTGCCTCTCATTAGTAATGTACTTAGAATAACTTCTTATTACTTCTTGTTTTGTACTGTGACCTTTCTGATTTTATCCCTACATGTTTGTGCTCATGTGCTTGACCTTAGTATGCTGGTCTTGTTTCCTGTGGCTACACTCACTAAAGATCTAATGATTCAGCAATGTTGGTCTCTAGCTGTACTTCCAATCTGTTCTCTAAAATAGGACAGTTTGCCTTTGTGCCCTTAGTATTTTTTTAAGGAAACACTCGGACTTTTAAACTCCTTTATCCAGCCTCCTGGGAGACCTCACTTACCAGTTCTCTCACTTAACCCACCTCTGAAATACAATTCCTCCCTTCTAACCCAAGAATAACTAATACTGTCTTAAACCCTCTTCCTTACCTCTCTGTCATTGCAATCTGTTCTAGCATCGCAGAACCTGTGTTTGCCTTCCAGTTTCCAGAGATGGATGTCCTCCTAGGAAAACAAACCAAGAACATAACCTGAACATGAAAATACACTCCTGCCCCTTCCTCCCTCATACTGTAGTCCTCATTCTTGACTCAGCTTGTATGGGAGGGGATGAGGTGAGGTTCTTCCTCACAGAAGTCTTTCTAAAACCTACCTCAGCAACACTCCATACAGGGTATATTGTTCAGACTCATGAAAGACTGAATGAGGAGTTAGACAGGGAAACCTGTCTAACGCATTAAGCTCTGTGAGTACTTTCTTTCTTTATGCATCAGGTCCAGGAGAGCTGTAATGCCTGTAGATCTCTGGGATAATCACCCTTGTGTTCTGTAATGGAGAGCATCTTCCATAGGTGCAAGAGCAACTCTCCAGGTAAACATCTGACTGAGTAGCTTCACAAATGTAATCTATGACATTCTGGGTCTCCCTATCTTTGACTTCAGTTGTACTGGTGTCATAGAAAATGTGATTATACCCTCTTTTCACTGACTTTTCATTGACCTGTCCATGGCTTACTATGTCTGGACTTCAAGAATTTATAATTGCAAAATGCTTGGAGTCTTGTTAGCTGCAACTGATGGTTAATTTCTAGAAAACATCCTGTTGTTAGCAAATCCTGGGTTTCATCATCATCTATCAAGGGGTGAAAAAATTTACTTTTCTTGACCTTAGGCACAGGGTAGACCTTGGACAGCCTGCTGCAACAACACTGCACAGACAACCCTGGCATAGTGTACAAGCTAGGACAAGTCAGGAGAGGATACATCCAGGGAGCATTCCATGTTGAAGGAGATTTAGGTAAAGATTTAGGAGGGGAGTATGAGGTGTAATCCAGCACTTCAACATGAGATTGTGGAAACCTTCCCTGCCAGTTCTTTCACCTTTTCAACATGATGTGGAAAAGAGGCTCCGAACTTGCCGAACTATGTGGACCTGTGGGTAATACTGATGTCCTGCTAGACTGTAAACCTGGATCATTATAGTTGACTACCTAAGGTTCCCCTTTACTCTGCTGAGGGACAGCCTGTTGTCTTTTTTCCATTTCTCTTCTAAAGTGGTATGTATAGTTGCTGTGAAATTTAAATGGTCTTTGTAACCCGTATTTAAAGGAGTGGGAGGGGGCCAAAGGAGCATGATTACTGTGTTGAATAACTGTGCTTCCATGTAGTTGACTCTTGCCTCTTATTTCTTCACCCGACATCCGTCTCTGTGCCCTACTTTCTAAGCAAAGGTATGTAATTCTCCTCAAACTTTGACTGTTATGAGCCCTTATGGACTGTAAGGTCAGTGTTCAACTCTCAGCTTCTCTTTTTCTTTTGACATTGGATTCTTAGGATTATGTTTTTCAGCTCTGCAATGGGAAGAATTGCTCTTTATTAACATTTAGGTTAAGAAAATTGCCCTGCAGTAGCAGATGGCATCCAGAATCCCACTGGTACTGATGAGAACTCCCGGAGTCTGATTAGTGACGTGACTGGATATCAGTGTTTAGAAAATGTACCTGGCATACCAAATGTAAGCATCTGTGCTGTCCGTAAGAAAACCAAACCACCGCTATACAGTTTTACTAGGAAATTTGACATGGGAAAGCTCCCAGAATAAGAATTCTGCTCTAACCGTTGGGCTGATTGGTTTGACTTGTTTACGCCTATCCATCTCCAGCCAATATTGGGCATGAGATATAAAAGAGTTCTCTCAGCTAGATCCCTAAATTTTCTGTTAGGGAACTTTCCTGGTTTTATGTGGAGAAACTTCATCTGAAGTCCTCCGGACTAGTCAGCAAATTCCTACACCACAGGCTCTCTCAAGATCACTCCTTTCCAAGCATGTATGAGCAGTTCAGGTGTCAAGTATGCCACAAAATTCATCTTCATCTTTTTTTTTTTTTTTCTTTCTCCTTTTGTATTCAACCTGAAGTGGA